TGATCTGGGTGCACACACCCACCCCCATGACCTGCTTCTGCTTGCCCAGCTGGGGCAAAGCTGTGGCTTGTCCAGGAGGGGCAGGGAGGCTGGGCAAGCAGTGGGAGGGCAGAGCTCCTGCTCCCAGTGCCCTATGCCACCTGCCCAGAGCGCAGCCCAGCCCACCCCACACAGCTCTGGGGGCACACACCTGTTCCCATGCCCTCCTAGACTGGTGGCGCGCAGTGGTGGGAGCCCCCCATCTGAGTCCTGCGCCACTCTGCCCTGGCTGGGCAGCTTGTCCCAGCCCCAATCCCTCCCTCACTGTGGGGGTGTTGATCTGCTCCCCTCCAACCATGCTCCTTCCCTCCCTCTGCCCACCACAACAGATTTACCAGCTGGAGGCAGCTGTGTCCAGCACCCTCGAGGACCACTGCCTGTTTAGTCTATGGTCGAATCTCCAAATCGGCATCAAATCTTCTAATCTGATTTGGCCAAATTGAATCGGACAGTGACTTGAATCACCGAATTGAATCACTGTCCCTCTGAATCAGCCAAATCTGAATCAAATACTTGCTACTTTGCACAGGCCTAATACTTACAGACCATCAGTACTGGTCAGCAGATAATTTGCATTGCTGCCTTCACATTCTCCTTTTCAATGATAATCTTTGCTAACTATTGAATATCTCACAGAGTGACCGAGAAAAATCAGAGGGACTTCCAGTGGCACCTTTCATGGACCGAGATAAAGTGACCAAGCCAACAGCACAGATCGGGTTCCTTAAGTTTGTTCTTATTCCAATGTTTGAAATAGTAACAAAGGTAAGTTATTAAAGTTCTGAGATGCTGGCTGCTGCCTACAACACTTCAACCTTAATTTTGATAAGTCTTTAGTCAGCCAGTGAAACAGTCCTGTATCTACTTTCACTCCAGCTCTAGCGTTTATAAGTAAATATTTAAAAAAAGGGGGAAAAAGTGTCCTCTTAACTTTTCTTGCCTTTGTTTAGCTTTTTCCAGAAGTTGAAGAAGTGATGCTCCAACCTCTTTGGGAATCCAGAGACCGCTATGAGGAATTAAAACAAATAGATGATGCTATGAAAGAGGTAAGATATATATCCTCCAGGTGGTTTCAAATGTCAAACAGGCAATTCAAGTACTTCTTTATTCTGATGATATCTATGGCCTCTGATATCTTTGGCCACCTTTTTTTTATATATGATTGTAAAGCACCTGCCATGCCTATGGCGCTATTGTCTTCATGCTCACAAAATGGTAAAAAGCAGTTATGAAGCTTAACCATAGAAAGTAAAGCATCAGAAACATTCAGTCCACACTGAAATATGGCTTTAAAAACAACCTGCTAGAATACGAATAGAAGTCTTTGGAATTATACTAGGAATGACATTCATACATGTACATACCCACATACATACCACCAAGGTATCATTCATATTCTGGCCCAGATCAAACATGTTTATGGTATTTATGGTATTTACAAGATCTTTCTCACTTTGGTAAAGCTGAATAGGATCATGATGATATCTGTCACTCAGCTTTCACATCTGTTGATTCACACTCTTTCTGTGACCATACGCACTTTTGCTAGATCCCTTTCAGTCCTGGTTGAACGGCAGAATCATGACTTCTTTGTCTTTAACTCAATTACTTATCATGTCCCCACAGACTTCTTTGGTATAGGGTTATATCCCTAGGGCTCAGACTGTTCTCTCTTCTCCAGACTCAGCCGCTTCTTAGGTCAGAGTTTAGTTTTCCTTTCTTGTCATCATAATGCCCAGCAGCAAGTGACGTCAAGTTTATTACATCCAGATCAAATAACTGTACATAAAAACAAAGTTTATAGACCCAGAAGAGGGGAAAAAACCCAGAAGGTACATTTTGATTGTAAATGGATACCATCTGAATGTTATGACACAAGCACCGATAACAGCATGGCAGAGTATGGAAATGCTTCTTCTGTTATAGTGGAAAAGATCTTTTTTTTGTCTTGCAGTTTCATAGTTTCATAGGTGGTAGGGTCGGAAGGGTCCTGAGCAGATCATCAAGTCCG